TGGGGAGAGCAGTCTTCACTCCTATTTGTTTCATATTTCTTTGTGATTGTCGCCATCAAATGTGTCAGTCTAAATCTGAAACCGTAATGGATTTCACGCTCTATGATTTTAATTTAAATTTTTTTTCTGAAAACGAAACGCAACGGAGAGCGATATAATGTATTGATATGCCATAATAATAACAACGTAATATTGTTATTGGTCTAACATTACAAAAAGATCAATTTAGAATATTAAAGATGTTGAAAATTTTCTGAGAACCTCCCGTCCTCTGAACCGATTAAAATTTTGGTACACGATGACTGTATGGAGGTAATGCAAATATATATAGGATCCTATATGTGATTTTGTACCCAAAATTCGGCTTATACACGGTAAAAAAAGTCCTTATGAAAATCTTTTTTTAAAATTTATTTTTATGATTGACAATTTCTGGCACTTAGACAAAGAGTGTTGAAGGAAAGACAGATATTCTTTGAATTGTAAATATGTCTTTTATAATTCTTGTTTCATGATGACAGGGATACTTTTACACACACAGCTAAGGAAGTTGTGATACTGTGATTGCATACAAAGGAGTAACAGGTTTGCAGCAGTACCTGTATATGCAAAATAGACCACATAAGGTGAACTAAAGTCATGGGGCGTGGCTGACCAGAAAAAAATACATCTGGCAAGGGTAAACATGTATACAGGCACATTTCTTTTCACTCCAACCAGAAGACTGAGATAGCATTTTCTTAGAAACATATGGCTAACTTACCAGCTTATGTGCAACCATGGTTCTTGTGATTAAATAAACAAAAATATCATGTACTGTTACAAGTAAGTAATGTATCATATTCTTATTACAAATATATTTTAGAATTGTTTTGTTTGGAAACAAACCACTTAATACACAAGATGAATGTCCATATGAGTTTAATATGTATATGTTAAGGATCTGATTAATTTATTCATTATTCATGGAATACTAAAATTTAATGAAATCAAATAGTTACTTATTCACATAATTGATGCTCAGAGTGAAAGATAATAATTCAGTGTCTGCTCTGGCTTAAATTTTCTTGGGGTCACTTGGACCCCTTCATCATAAAATTAGGGGTCCAAAACAAAAATGGAGGGGTCCAATTTATAGCATTATAACATAACATTAACAACAGAACACAGTGGTTGTGAAAAATAAGAAATCTTTTCGCAACTGCAAAATATCAACAAACAGGCAAAGTGAGAGAAAGGTTCACATCAGGGCACATCTTGCTCTCATAACCAAGAGGTTTACATTAAGGGACAAACAATTTCTTAAAAGGGACATTTGATATTAATGAATATTATAACACAAATTATCCATGTTAATATCTAACTTCGTATATGAAAAGGCAGTACACGGGTCAGCCATTGGTGAGGGGTCATTGTGACAGACATTTGTGAATGTTTTTACCGAGATCTACCAATGATTTGAAGTTATGGATTCAGTTAAGTTCAATGGCTGTTCTGATGCTACTGTACTGAGTATTGAGTTCATGTTGTAACTGTGACAATGATCAATGAGTCATAAAATATAATTGGCATATCGAACGTTTTTTTAGTAAGAGTATGTCCAGGATCCAGCATTTCCTTGATAAATCTAGTCAACATGTTTCAGGTGCTATAAATGTTTAAACATGTCAGTTACACCAATAACGGTCCTGGCAAAATGTGTTTTGCAATTCTTAACATGACTCACAAGATATTGAATTATTATCAGCTTGATAAGTCTGTTGTAGAATAACTAAATATTCAGAGTCCGCTAAATAAAATCAATGCTTACATCATTGTACATTCAAGTGTTCGCATTCATTCTTTATCATATACAGTATCGCGGTATTGATAAATCTCGTAATCCACACAACCTGTCGACTGTTTACTTATGCAAATCTAAGCACGATATATTTCATCGCATGATCGAATACAGGACTCGTTGCGGTATGTCACGGCTACTTGTACACACGTTAACTTTTTTTATGACAGTTCCTAGGATGTTTTTGAAGTGGAATTACCCCTTCCTCCATTCAAAATTGATTAGAAAAAGAACCCATTTGTTCAAACGAAGTCCCTTGACCAAACCTCGGTCGTATGAAAAATTCAAAACAGGAAGTGATATACCATATAATCCACACAGCCTTACTTACTGCGGTAAGATTCACCAATGACAGGTACCTTGTTAACCGAACTCGGTAAAGAAAATCAGCATCAATCAATCCAATGAACAACAAACATTTTGTGAATCACATATTTAATAAGTTTGTAAGCGTGCCCCACTACGATCCATTATAAATTAACTACCGCGATAATATAGCGTATCATCCTACACGGTCGCTCGATTTCGCGGGTCAATGTTACCACGTTCTGAAGTATACCCTTGATTTACCTGGCTATTTTTAGTTTGACACAAGGAAGCAAAGCTACGGACCATACCGAAAATTAATACATGCAAAACCGACAATAGATATAGGTCAAGAAACCGGTTTGGGTATTTGTCATAAAAAGGGAGAGAATAATGAAACTGGTTTGGTTTAGCAAACGGAAGTGTTAATCAACATGCTTCGCTGTCTTGTTTGGCCACAAATACCTTTACGCAAAGACGTACATCTTTGATTTACGATAACAGTGTCAATTCGATATGAAATTAATATAGCCCCAGTCACTGCGTCCACGAGACCCACACATGTTACGCAGGTGCGTTCAAACTTATTTTTGTGCGTCCAAGACGCAAAAACGCGGTCTTCAGCCAACACTGATAATTGTAGAATAAATTATCTTTAAACTAAAGATAATAATTGAAGTTTGATCAGTAACACTGTGCTGATGCATTGATCAATATTTAGTCTCCATACACACAATCATTGTGGGGAACAAAACCTACTAAATATAAAAAATATAACATAAAATTTTAAAACCTGTAAACAGCTGTAAATAATTAAACAATTACAAATCTATAATCAATACTCAATCATGGCGGTCTTCATATTTTTGGAGGGGCGGTCGGGTAGCCTAGTGGTTAAAGCGTTCGCTCGTCACGCAGAAGACCCGGGTTCAATTCCCGACATGGGTACAATGTGTGAAGCCCATTTCTGGTGTCCCCCACCGTGATATTGCTAAAAGCGGCGTTAAACCATACTCACTCGCTCACTCACTCATATTTTTGGAATAAATTTAGAAATGCTTCGTGAAATTGTTCTAAAATCATGGTAGAATCTATGAATGTATTATGAAAGGAAAACTGTCCCAAATATAATGTGGAACTAACACCAAAAATATGTATGTCGCATTTTATTGCTTATATATATCCTATCATATACAGCAACGCAGGAATGTTATTTTGAAACATGTTTTGTCAAACCATTTTCGTGCATCTGTTGTAGAGGGTGATCGTGCTGATCGACGATATCCACAGATGTATTGCATGGGATACACTTATAATAGTGAAACTTATCAGCGTGTGCATCGCAGAAATATGAATTAAATGAAAATAGGAGTAATTTGGCTATTACGCTTTAAATGACTTCTTCTCTGGAACTAAAAGATGGATATCAACCATCTTTGGTTGGAAGTATTCTCAGGTGATGGGAATTCACAATTTTACAAATAGAGGGACCATAAGGAATTTATAACTTGGACAAATATAAGATCCCCACGGTATAACTATATGTATAATTGCAGAGTATGAGAGGAATGCACATATGCTACCAGGACTGGCCCTTCTGTTCATCTGTCTGAACTGTGACATGCAAACCGATATCCCCACCCTATAATAAACAGATAATTGCATACATTTCTGTGTTATGAAGCCCTGGGGTCCAGCTTTGCCTCTGGAAACTTGGATCCTGGATCATAACATGGAACGGTTCAGATCTTTATGCTACATTTGTATCTAGAGAAGTACACGTTCATGCTGTCAGATTTGCCATTCACCCCTTTTAAATGCTGACAGTCAAAATTACAAAATATTTGCAGTATTATATACATGTACAATGCAAATGTATATTTTGTCATGATTGTGTAAATATCCAGGTGAGCGATACTCTTGTTTATTACCCTGCAGTCAAGTTAACTGCTCTTTCACTCAACTTGCCCTGACAGTGATAATGATTTTGTGGTAAAAATAGTATCAGACTCTTTGCTCAGTTTATTTTCTATCTAAAAGATTGAGAATTCTGTTAAGTTGGTTTTGTTGGAGATCTTGCACCTGACCCCAAAGTTAATCAGACATGGATCTTTTGAATTTGTCCCTAAAGTGATTTGGTTGTGATGTTTACCTAATTTTGGTCCATCTCCAGTTTAAAGGGCTTTAGATTGACTAGGTACCCACAACAACTGTTAACTATCCAAGGGTTATCTAGATGTCAGAACCCACCAGAACCTTTGGTATATTCTGGCAATGATGTAATAGGGGTGTATTCGCAGGAATTGTCAAACAATAGTTATCATTGTTAATTCAAAGTATACTGTCTCTCTGTTAAATAAGGAGTAATCCTGCCCACCAACCTCTATTTTTTTTACATTTTAAACTGTTTACTGCTTATCAAGGTGGAAATATTATTCTGTGGGTCTTTGGTATTAACTCTTTCATCACTGGCTGCCCCAGAGTTATGTCCCTTGAGACCCTGCAGTCCCTGACACTGACAAGGCCTGTACACTGGCCTCCCTGGCAGTATTATTGGAAAATCACACTATCATTTTTGATGCACTTTTTCTACGCGAAACTTGCTTTTAATATACATTTATCATATACCATTGTAAAGAGGATTAAGTATACTTTAATATTCTTTGTTGTTATTGTCTCTAACCTTTGTTATTTTCTAATTACAGGTGTTTACAAGTGAAATAAAACTTGAAAACACTGAAAAAATGAAAACAGACAATGAATTTTGGCTCAAATTGTATTACAAATCACAAAAATAAATCACAGATACAAGGTAAACATAACACAGTGGTCTTGTCATCTTGGACGGCACAGGTAATCCCAGGTGTTACAGGTAAATTCTCTTCATGCACATCTGTAAACAAATAAACAAGTTTACAACTCTTGGTACTGACTTTGTTTTCTATACTGATGTCACATATTACTTATGATACACTTACAGCCTCTTAGGTAAACTCGTTAACACAGGTAAACTTGTTAACGCAGGTTAACTCGTTAACACAGGTAAAAACACAAATATTTTATTTATTTTGTTCTTTTTCAGGATTTGAAACAAAAATTAAGTTTTAAAGTTTTTAAATAGTAATTTATCACATTACCTGAACATTGAACCACAGCTCCTATAAGAATGACATCACAGAGAAGATATCACAGATTGATCTGAAAGGAGGGAAAAATTGTAAAAGGACGGAAAGATCGTAAATTCAAGTTCTGCAAATATACAAGTTGTGATAACATATTTACAATACACTGTTATTTACAATTGCATAATAAATTAAATCAGTACATTATTACATCAATTAATAAATAAATAATCATTACAGTTACTAAAATTTAAATTAAGATGTAAAAAACAAGAAAACAAACATGAATATGGAAATAAATTTTATTCAAATTGAGCGAAATATAAGGACATACGACAAACCGGCAAACTACAATTCGGATTGCGATCAGAAACTTAAATTTTAAAAAAAAGAAAGAGATACGTCATGCCATTCACCTTTGTTGTTGTTGTGATCGCTCGTTCACCTGTAGGCTGCATTCTCATTCGTCGCACTGATAATCTGTTCAAACACAGAATCATTGTAAAACAGTTGGAAAAAATCAATAGCACGATATTTCACTCACCGTGTCAATATATATTCTTGAGTCCGGTCGCCTCTTCAAAATCCCTCATGTCTCCACCGTTGTGGTCCCTCTGCCACTCCCATTCTTGAAAGTTGGCGCGGGGGGGGGGGGACACCTCGTCGAAACCGTCAAAATCTTCACGAAATTCCCTCTCCCCTTCACGTAAATTATTCAAATCAAACACATTATTATTCCCGATAGAGTAGTTGTTAGTCATCTGATCGCTATCCAAATCGTAGTTGGCCGCCATTACGCTAGATTTACGATTCAAGCGAGAAAAATACCTGTCGCGAAAACAGGTGACATTCACGATTTTCGCGCCAAAAAGACTGGGAAATTCCATCGAATGACGTGTCAATCACGTGTAGATCTCATTTCCATATTTAGAACGAGATTACACACGAGAAAGGAAGTTGAAAGAGCGATTTTGTAAACACGGTCGCGCCGCCCGATTTATCGGGCAGCCGTGTGGGGCTTGGACAATAGCCGCCCGATTTTTCGGGCAGCCGGGTACTGGGACACGGTTTATGCTGCCCGATAAATCGGGCAGTCGGGGCGAAAGGGTTAAAGATGTTATGCATAAGGCATGTAGTTTCCCAAACCCAAAAGTGATGTCAAAAGATGTCAACCAAAAGTCCAAACAACTTCCTGAGAAAGTGTGCTTCAAGTATTTGACTTTCAAAGGTTAACTTTATTATGCATGTGTTTAACACATGTTTAAATGTGTCATGAGGGCCAAAGTGCAATTAGATTTCTTATTAAGCTAGCTGACTGAAATGTTGGGTGTTGCTTCTTTCATTCTAAGCATTGGTATTTTGTTCGTTCCAGACAGAGGAGGAAGAGCAAGTCCTGAATAAGGTTCGTTCCAAGAAAACAATGAAGAAGTACAAGGCCAGGAAGAAGACTGCCAAGGTGGAATCTGCTCTCGAAGAAGAGTTTGCTACAGGCAGAGTGCTGGGTATGCTAAGCTACATTTTTTCGAATAGCTCAGAACTTTGACAAATATATTTTTTTCTCAACAACCCATTATGGACACTTATCTATCGTTGCATTGTACAACGGGGTTCATTCTAGTTGCAATGTCACCAAAAAAAGTCTTGTTAGTTTTTTTTTAAAAACAAGATGGAATGATCAGAAATGGTGACAGCAAGGGCTATCGATATAGAATAAAGAGATTGCTAAATGCTTACTATTTATCGATCAATTATCGCTATATATCGTAGAAGTAACTTAAAGTAAATGTGAAAGGTAGTCCCAAAAGAAATCAACATATTTCACGCCACTGGTGAGTATTGAGACATACCGTAAATCGCTGTGTATAAAGCGATCCCATCTATAGTACATACCTTCAAAATCGACTTAAAATCCTATACTCCGTGTATAAAGCGACCTGGAATGAAGCACATCACAAGTGCGCACACAAACCTTATATTTGCAATAAAAATTTGTTTATCTTGTGTTGTTTTGCCTACAATGATTGGGCGCGTGCGTAACTCCAGCACACGTCACCATTTTGTGTTTACACGGTGCGACACCAAATTTGTGCCAGTAAAATATAATTCATTTATGAAGTAATAACATAAGCGACAGTGGTGAGTAATTTTATTGCCTATTAACTATGTTGTAACTAACTAGGCTTATGTTTGCTTCACATTCAGCGTGTTTATTCCACAATCACTTATTCACACTGTCTCCAACAGTTGTTAATACAACTGTAAAAACAGCGGGAATTGATTTCAGCTTCACTGGTTATCACATGTTAGGTCACATGTGAAATATGCAAATGCTTCCGGCTCTCTACTCACGGATGTTGATTGTTTTACCCTGTCAGCTGGCTTGACAATCTGGATCGAGGCGAGGGTCATTTCAAAACACAATACACATTCCTTGCGTCGCCCATACTTTGAACTTAGCAGCAAAGGCGGGTCTGAACGCAAATGCTAGTCTCAGCAAACTGCAATCTCGCTGCAGACACCTCGTTGGTTATTTCAAAAGAAGTCCGCTGGCCACAAATGTCTTACATTCCAAACAGGAGTTATTGCAACTACCACTTCACAATCTTATTCAAGACGTCGAAACGCGTTGGAACAGTACATACGATATGCTAATGCGTTTGCTGGAGCAAACTGCAGCAATCCATGCTGCGTTCACTGATCAAAGTCTTAAGAAAGACGCACATGGCCTGGTTTAAGATCCCTCCGAACAGGACCAAGCAGAAAATATTATCCGTGTCTTGCAGCCATTAAAGCAAGCTACAACCCTTCTGTGTGACGCTACTCTGCCGAGTGTTTCCATGGTTTTGCCAATGATGTACAAGCTTAGGGTTCATTTGACTGTCAAGGATGGGGACAGTGGGCTTGTTAAAGCTGTTAAATCGGCAATTTCAGCAAACTTGTCCAAACGTTACACCAAAGACAAACTCAGAAAAACACTCGTAGCGTCAACGCTGCTGGATCCACGTTACAATGGGATACCTTGTATCACTGAGGATGATAAATCTGCAGCAGAGGATCAGCTACAAAGAGAAGTGACAGAAGTACATCGCAAGTTGTCAGAAACACCAATGCGTTTGAGCATAAAGCAGGAGAAAGCTGACTTAGCTGAGAGCGAACCAGCCCTTCCCGACTTGCCCCGATTGCCAGATTTTCCCAACGTACCAGATACTGCAGATAGTACAGATTCAAGCAAGTCTGGGGTGACAGTTGAGACTGAGCCACCCGTGAAAAGGATCAAGACTGAATCTGACAGCATAAAATCGAAGTCACTTGGAGTTGACGACTGGTTCTCAGATGTCATTGTCACAGGAGTGGAGAAAGTTGCTGTAGATCATAATCAACGGGCAAGAGAGGAGATATGTAGGTATCTGAAGGAATCCCGTCTACCCTGGAATGGTGGAAGATGAAGGAAGTGGCATATCCAGCACTGGAAGTGCTAGCCAAGCGTTATCTCTCCATCCCTGCCACATCGGTCCCCAGTGAGCGGGTTTTCAGCGCCGCGGGACTTGTTAATAAACAACGAAGCAGCTTGAAAACAGACAATGTCGATAAGCTGATATTCTTGAACAAAAACCTTAAAAAGGTCTTTGATCAGTGATGATTTTCATGTTCAATACCAAATGAACTCATGACTATTTGTCGTATTTGAGGCAAGTGACCTTGCCAGAAACAAATAAGTTTTCAAGTGTTAGCGTTTTGATATTTAGCGGTACATTCACAAAAGTCAAAAACATGAAAAATGAATTGCTGTTAGGTATTTTATTTTTTTGCATTTACAAAATGAATTGATGTTAAATTTAAAACTAGTTCTTTATATTTTATACATTTACAAAATGAATTGATATTACGCATTTTAAAGTTCATAGTTTAATTGTTTCACAAAGTTGGTGACTGACACCGATTGCCGATATTCCAACTGAACGTTTATAAAGTTATTTTAAAAGTGCATTCTTCAGGTTTTTTTATTTCATGACTTAAGACTACATGTATTAGACTAATCAATATATAGTAATCATGAGAAAGTTTCGTAACACATTAGTGCTGAGACGATCATTACTACATTATTACAAGGGTATACAAACTTACATCGTTATAATCGCACGATGTTTGTTTGATATCAGTCTGTAACCCAATCTGTGCCCCACCACGAAAACGATGACGTAGCACTCACCTGACCTATTACGTATCACACCTGTGAACCTAGTACAATCTACTACGTAGCACACACCTGTACACACCTGACATTCACAATGGCGGAATATTTGATGATTTTTTATCTGAATAGTTTCGTGAATACTGTACATAAATGACAAACGACTATATCAGGTGAAATTACATTTAATTTCTCAATTATTCTCACTTTATACAAATAATAATTGTCTTTGACGACATGAATCTTAAACTCAGATTGTTCATCGCTAAAAATGGAAATGTATAACTACATTTTTCTATAGCTTCATGCAGCAGTGCAAGGATTCGGTTACACTACATATGTTTAGATCATTATGTGCAGTAAAAAAAACTATGTTGCATTCCTTCAGGTGAATGAAAAGGTGATACGAAACTTGTTCAGTAAGAATGTGCAGTTTGTGATAAAACATCACTAGACATGATTTACCATTTAAATTGTGTTTCCTGTTTAGCTACAGAGTAAGAAATTGGCATGAGTCCTATAGTCCTTTCAAAAATGCACAATAGTTAGGTATCATAAGGACAAGTTGAAATTTGCCCTAACAAGGGCTTTTTTGTATGTTATAAAGAAGAATGGACTAATGCTGTTTGTTTCTAACACTGATAGCTGCAAGGCATTGTCATATCTTGATGACTCTTGTTTATACTTGAGGTTGGCTCATTGACGTATTGAAGGATGGCAATATGATGATCTATGTGTGGAGGTAATCTGCCTGCTGAATTTGCAAAGTGGTTACCAGAGACATATATATGTCATAGTTACTCTGATTGCCTTAATAGGTTACCGAATCTGTTAATCTAATAATTCTTTACCCGTAACAGTGTTCAGCGCCTGTTTCAAGAGTTCGTAATACAACTGTATTACAGGGGGATTTAGTAATCAGCTTCTCGGTCTGTCTGTTAGTTATCATTTTCTGTCCAGATCATATCTCTAAAACTAATAGGTATTTTTTCATGAAACTTTGCACACACAAAGACCAGATTGTCAACTGATGCCTTTTGCTATTCCAGGGCTCGAAATTAACCATATTTTGCATGCCATCGCACGCCTAAAATGAAAATAGCATCATGATCTTCGTGCCTCGATGGCACGCTTGGAAAATAGGAATTAATAACCTACCTTTGCCATATAAGGCATATTTTAATGATAAATATAAATCTCGTCAGCAATAAATTAACTCTTTCAACACCGTAGGCCGGTTTTCCGGCCAAGAAGCATCGAGTCCCCAGACACCGTAGGGCGGTTAACCGGCCAAGCCGTAGTCACGTCAAAATAGTATATATTTTGATGGACCTACATGTAATATCATTCATTTATTAAATCTATCACATTTCACAATGTCTGAAATACGTATTCCATTTCAATTTATCATTTTTTATCGATAAATTAAAAAAATATTCACTAGATCTATTTCCCGCGATGTTATTGAAAATAAAATTCTCGGACACACATTTCGACAACGGGTCCACATTGAACATGTCAAAGAGCAAAATAAAGACGTTTTAAACAAATCTTTGAATATTTTATACAAAGTAATAAATAGAATCAACAAAAATATATCTAAAAGTAATCAAATTACATCTAAGTTATTATATCCATCCTTTCGTGCGATTGCGTGTAATGTAAGTCAAATGACATCTCGGCTTTCGTCGCCTTGAATTCTCGGCTAGG